ATAAGCCTGGGGTGTGATTTGAACAGAGTTAAGGATTAACATGTAGTACAATGTGCGCCTGAACTGGAAATGCTTTTATTTAAAATGGTCTATTCTTGACCTTCTTTTTATGAAAAGAAGGTTCTTGTCAATTTTTTTCCTGTATACTCCAATGTAAAAATCACAGGCAATTGTTTCGTATATGGGGTTATCCCCTTCTTTATTTATTTACAAGGTACTCTACTTAACCTCTCTTCAAGCTCATATTTTTACATGACATAGTTCTTTATGTAATGTCTATGTCTCTTCTAGAGACTTTAATAAAATGTTGAAGATGTCTTTCGTCAAGCTGACTTACGACTTTTCGTTTTAAAGTCTCTGTTTTTATCGTATTCTTTGACTCTACTTAGATGTTTTTGTATTTTCTGCAAAGTCTTAAAATGTGTTGAGGTAAAATGAGTGGACTACAAAAAAGAGCTTCACGAAGGACATCTGGAACGTATTTGGAAAGGAAAAAAAGTGTCTCAAGGCGAACTACGTCATGGTAAAGTGGGTTAATGATTGATTAATTAATTAAAAATGACCTTGAAGAGGGTGTGCCTGAAATTGAGTTAGGTACCTGTGGTAAGAAAAAGAAGAGGGGTGACCTCATATATGAAAGTGCATGTGGTAAATTGATCCCCTATCCCGCCTACTTACAAACTTTTGGAACCATGATTTGAGACTTAATCATATTAAGGTCTTCCTTTTATGCAGTAAAACAAAATACTTAAAACATATTAAGTGTATTTTAGTTATAAGTATAAAATAACGATTAAAATACCTATTATGAAAAGGAAGGAGCACTTTCCATTGGATTTTCCAATGTCGAATAATTCAACGAATTGTGTGACTAACTGGGATAACAAAGTGAGGTCATAAGCCATTACATGGAACGATTCAATAAGAGGTAGGTTATTTTTTATTTATTAGATTTTGTCTGATATGAGTTCTTTGTTTATTGCTGCAAAAAATATTGCATTCTATTATATAATAGTTACCTCTTTTGCATTTTTATTCTACTCATAAAACTTTTTTAAAAAAATCTTTCTAATTTAATATTTTCTTCAGTTTGCTTTTCTCGTCCGATAAATATTGAAACAGGAAGAAAAGGCCCTATGTTTTAAATTTTATTCAAGTGTATTCTTACATGACCTTTTTAGCAAATACAATCTATTTACGGTCAAGATCTAGTAAATGAAGAGTGCCTACAGATTTCTCAAATTTGAGAAAAGGATTCCTTTAATAATCTTTTACAATTATAGCTTAATAAATTACTTGTGTATCGGGATATAATTTTTAGATAAACTCCATGAAAAAACATATATTAAACTGCCCTTTTCAATGAAAAATGAAGAAAATCAGGTGTAAGAATGAGAGTTTTCTCCATCTCAGACATAGGAAATGTATCTATGTTGCCTACAGGCTCTCAGAAAACAGTTATTAATATCTTCTTGACCTCTACTTTAAAATGATATTAAATTGAATATAGGTATCGGGTTCCTTTTAACATGGTTTCTAATTGAATTCCATGAAATGCGTCATTTTCTACATAATTCTGTTATAGCCGTAAAGTACGGGAAAAATTAAATCAATTATGACGTCATAATGGATATAGTACCAAAAACACAGTCTAAACTCATTTACTAGATCTTGACCTTAAGTCGAATGTTGACTGATGTTTTTCATACATATTTTGAGGCCATTATTTTCACACAGAATTGTCTACGGATTTTTCCGTTTACCGGATCATGACAAAGAGCGCACGGCATGTGTGACCTGTCGACAGTGGATGCTTACTCATCCATTATCCCTGATCCCACCTGGCCCCTGATGTTTTTAAGAGGTCCGTGTTTGCTCTGCTAACAATTTGTATTGTTCCAATAGACTCTTGAGTTTGAATACTGTATATGTTATTTTCATGGGAACTCAATGAAAGCTCAATATTCTGGTGCTTAAACAGATGTCCTTTCTTGTTACCTTAAAGTCAACCATTCAAAATATGTTAAAGTCCTACCTATGTACGACTTTGTAGGATTTTTGTCACACTGAGAACTTAGAAGTTATCCATATTGAGGTCCTGTTGATATCACAATTTATTATGATCTATGCCATCGTTCCAAATTTGGGATAGAAAAAATCGAGCTTGAATTTTTTTTAAATATATTGTACATGTACTAGGTAGAAAAACGAAATTCTATTCAACGGAAGTTAATTTTTCTTCTTTTTTTTTTTTACATTTGCTAAGAAGTAAAATACATTTGTGAACCATGCAACATTTTTTTGTCGTCGAAATAGGTACAGTTACAGTTACGCGAACGTTCGCGAGCGCTCGGCAAAATTCCTTATACCTCCAACAGAAATGTTCTCGAGTGCTCGCTCTCTTGAACAGGCCTCTGATTTACATCGGAATTTGTTACCTGCATTTTTACATATATAGTTTGAGGAAGAACGAATCATATAACTGACGCAAAATAATGATGTGTTTGCTTTCTTCAGTTTTTTTTTTGCATCCACCTGTTTATTCTTTGCGATTCTTAATACGGATACGTCTGTGTAACATTCTTTTCTGCGTTTCTAAACTACTGAAGCCTTTTTTCTTCAACGAAAGGGGTGACACAATCATTTCGCGCCAAATGTCACAAGTAAATTATCTTCGCGCCTTTTTCTTGGATCGATCTATTGAATGGGTGGGACAAATTCTATGGAAATAAATAAAGTTTGTTTTTTTCAAACTGATTCTTAAGCTTCAGATTTTTTATAGACTGCAAATTTTATCTCATTTTATATATTTCATATTGTATATGGGCAGGCAACACTAAAGCAGTGGTTTTGCTAATTTTTCTTACTATTTTGTTTCCTGGTTGCCCCATAAGTGGACTAGTCCAATCATAAACAAACTCCCACCACCTGGTAAATGAGACATCCTTTCTTGAACCAGTCTGTTTTCTCCCTCTTCTTTCAATATTACAAAATTATGTACGTTACAAGGTTAGCTTTATAAAAAGCTTAGAAAGTCAGCCAGTGGCATATTATTCCATACTTTGTGATAAACAAGGGTTTCCTTTTAATACAGCGGGGAGGGGGGGGTATAAGATTCTTGTTTTGCTCTAGCTATAAAGTGTACTGGCCATTTACTTTGCGTCCTAGTGCAGCATTGAAGCAATTTTGTCTGAAACACTTCAAGACAACTTTCCTAGCTGAAACTGTTCACAATTTACTTCGTCGTTGAGAACGACGGCGAATAGACCAATCTATAAATAGAGGCCATCTCATCAATCCGTCACTTACCAGAGAGTGTGCATGAAGAAACGGGTCCGGTAAGTAGGTAATATGATTTTCTGTAGAACGACTCGTCTAAATATTTTTCCAAGAATTCCAATCTACGCAAACACACTTGCAGTTTCATCCCAACGTAACTAGTCAACCCGTGGGCTAACTATGAAATGACCTAAAAGTGACATGTCTTAGATATTCTTTAATCTGTAATATTTAGTTATGACATTTGAGAAAGTTAATTGTACATCTTGTGTAATGAAGTTTCGCAACTACCGGTATGTCTTTCCTTGATGACGGAAACGTTTAGCACTTCTCTTGCTTATACATTCCATGGATATTGATTGATTTAGTCAGACAAGTTTTTTGAAAAGCTATTACTTGTACAACATTCAATTTAAAAACTGCTAACAAAATCCGAAAAAAATGAAAATTTCTTGGTGACTATTTTTTACGTTGGATTGAAATTTGGAAGAAAATTCTTCAAACCTGAATTTGTTTTATATCTTTGAACTTAATCCCTATACGTTTTTAATCGTATAATTGTTTTCGCAATTATATGCTAGGAATATTAAATATAAATTTCAATGAATAGTTTAGAACAAATTTTACACATTCATTCAACAGATTTTGCCAAGAAAGAAGATATACCGAAGAAGTCAGGATTAATTTAACATTTTTTTTCCGGAAATCGTTTTATTTTGTTCAATATCTTGAAATTTACATCACTGACCCTCACTGACCTCAAAGCGCGTCCTTGTCTCAAAATTTACATCACTGACCCTCACTGACATGAAAGAGTATCTACTCTATTGATCGGAAATTCCCACTTAATTGCCCGTGGTATAACAATGATGCCTGCACGACTCTTTTTGAATGGGAAATATGAATTAATTAACCATGTATAATGGGTAACTCTTTACCTATAGTCTCTAGATCTAGCTTTCCTACTTGAAAATTTTAATCTTTCCATCAAGAAACAAAGAACCATGCAACAAACGGGTTTTAACACGGTTGCCTCGCGCGCGCACAGCGCGCCCACATCAAGCCGTATAACAACCCTTACATGCACTTCTCAAAACATCCTTGATATAACTCATGTAAAGAGTGACATACCTGAAAGGATTGTCTCTTTGCAAGTAGTATAAAGAATACACATAAGAGTTTTGTACTATTTAATAATAATAAAATTAGTCTGAAATGTAAGAAATCTTGTTTTTTATTTGTGTTGAAATCCACGAATTTTTTTTTTATTTTTCATTTCTCTTCAAGTCTCGTGTAAAAAGGTTTGCGATATAGTATTGCCCATTGTTAACAATAATAAATATACATTCTTTAGACTTTACAATTATAAGCTCAGTAACAGAGTTTTGCTTTACATTGATATTCAAAACCCTTTAAATCCCTATCATGAAATATGAAGATAACGAAAAGTAATCAAGTTCAAAAGTCCATTGAACAATTGAATTGGGAGCTGAGCAAAACGGACATCTGAAAACAACAGAGACGGGATCAGGTGCCATGGATGAGTAAGCATTCCTGTAGACCGGTTGAAAATAATGGTCCAATAATTTGTATGAAAAAACATCAGGCAACATTCGATTTAACGCAGAGTGTATTTCTTTAGCACGTCATTGTTTCGAATGTAAAAGTTTCAAAATGTCGACTTTAAACGGGACTGTTGATATCCTTTGTTGAATTTCAGAATGCTGAAAAAGAAATTCTTTAAAAGGAAACCAAAGACTGCAGGGAAAAAGGGAGAGGGTATGTCAGTTAGGAATACTAAATGGTATTCAAATGGGTACTCTTAAACTTTAATGCTATATCGCATCAATCGAAAGATTAAAATGCATGCACATGTACACATTATTTACTTTAATATATTACCTTGTATAAGAGTTTATATTTTCAATTTTGCAACATTCTATTTCTTTTATATAAAAATCAAGTTTGGTGGTAGATGATCCCAGGAATGAAACATTGGCCAATCAATGCATTTTCCTTTTAAAAATAATCAAAACGCTTTTAAAAACTTGTTAAATTGATCCATTGATAATTTATTTAGTGCGTGCAAAGCAAGCCCCAATATATAGAAGCGAAACAAGGAATGTTTATGATTACATAGCTATAGATCCAGAATATAAATTTGGTCCTTCGGGGTATACACCTTTACGGGAAAAGAAACCCCTCCCAAATCCAACTGAAAAGAATGCTGCTGAAGGAAAGATATTCAGCAAGGATGCCATACTGGATCTTCCATTACAACGTGTGCCGTCCAACAGACGAATAGAAGATTTAGATGAGAAAGAATATGGATACACATCTTTTGGCAAGGTCCACAGACAAAAAAAGAAAGACACAAACTGGGAAGACGCATTCTTTGACGCGCTTGAATTCTTACCGTACCAGAAATTGAATCACAGTCCTGCTTTAAGCAAGTTCTTTTTCGAACCACAAGGTATGTTCTTTGAATTTAACATTTTGCTTGATAGATATTGTATTCATTTAAATAATCTGTTTTAACTTTATCTGGGTTTTAAGGTACAGAAAAGTACAAAGTTCTATCCATCGAGGAAGTATGCCGAGAAATTAACAATGCGTCGGATGAAATTCAGCAAGATATGGTAAAATATATCACAGCATGTCTTCTTCCAAGTTTGAAGCAAAAGTACAAAATGTCTGAAGTATTCAATCTCCTTTCTTGCAAAAACAAACTTGTCAGGAATCTTTGCATAAATGAATTGATAAAGATGATTATGGTTGGTGATCAGAGAAAGTACTCCCAAGATTGTATGTTGAAGTTGTACGAAATTGGAACAGTTCAGCTATTCACAGTCATTGGAGAAACAAAGAAATCCTTTTCCATTTTCCAATCCCTGATTCAACTTGGAATTATATTTAACTGTTTTATATACTTACGAGCCATTGAAGCAATAGACGATTGGAATCCATGCATTCAACACGTTAAGAGTAAAATTCAGTCTAAAATTAAACGTGTTGCACAGAGAACCGACCAAAGCGTGCACGTATTTGCAAAGACAGCTGACTGTATTTTTAATCTACAAGAGGTGGATTTCGATGAAAGCTTTTTAATTGGGGAGGATATGAACACCTTCCTCTCTGTTTCCAAAAAGAAAGAGAGTAAAATTTATATCGATGGCATGGCAGCGCTTTTCCATACAGGGAACTTGGTATTGCTTGTATTTATAATTTGATCTTTTTAAAATATTTGTTGCCATGTTAAGTTTCAAGATTTCAAGATGTGCAAAAAATTAATATGATTACCTATCTCTAAACAAAAAACATTATATTCTCTCTCTCTCTCTCTCTATATATATATATATATATTCTCTCTTAATTATTTGTGTTTATTTCAAACGAAAGATGCTAAGACAGGAGTCAAAATTTCATTGCGGGGTGCAGCAGTTGAGAATTAAATCTTTACATATGAACGATTCCTCTGATGAAGAATTAGTAAAATGGTACCATCGTTTGCTTGGCTTATTCATAGTCCATTTACTGGAAAAAGAGCACCCTGGTGGTAAGGCGATCTATTGATTTTTGTTAAAATGAAAAATATATTTTTTGAATACATCCAATATTGTATATTCTTTACATAATATAAAAATTTGATATAAATGTATTTGAAGATTTTAGATTTTTTTATTGTAGTAAAACAGGAGATACTCGAAAAATGTGAAGATGAATTATTATCGATACTAAATTGTACATACTTTCATCCCGAGAGCTTTTGTGTGTCAAAGTCACTATTATTTCACCACAGCGAAAGAATTCGAACTAGATACAAGGACATATTTGTAAGTCGAGAAAAGGGGATGGCCCCGCACAAGTCTGTCACGGAAGATCACATAGAAGTTCTTCTGACCAAATGTGTTTTAATACTTGACAGGACCCCCTCAGAGTCACCAATAGGGAATGATACTTTTGAACGCAAACAATGTTCAATTTATTATACAGATGCATCAATTACCTGTATTGTCGAAGATTTCAAAAATAATTCGAGGGATTTGAATATGTATGATAACACCTTGTCACCTTACAACGATATCGTTAATTTAGATAGACAAGACAGATTAAAAAATGAACTCGAAGTGCTCAAAGAAATAGAGTCCAAAGAGATTCACAGAAATGTGGCTAGACTTCTTGCATTCAATGCTAGTTTTCCATGTTTTTACATCAAAGAAAGACTTCCAGGGGATAATTTGCAGCGAAGACTTCTGACAGCCAGAGACAAAAAGAAGATAATCCCAATTATAGATCTGATAGGTATAATTGTTCAAGCAGTCCAGGCAGTTATATATGTACACAGTTGTGGTTGTCTTGTCAGGGACATAACGACTGCATCATACGGATGTCTATTAATGAATAATGAATATTTCATTAAATTGAAAAATTTTGAGATGGCGGCCAAACCCTCAGACTTTCCAAGCGGTGGAATAGTAACTGGGTTAATTGGTAAATATTTAAGTCTTTTTTAAAACCTTTTGTAAGTAGGGTGATTGTATTAAAACTGAAACTTTTAAGTGTAAAAGTTATTTAAGGACAAACCAGAGATAATACTAGAAAATATATTAATTTTCTTCTTAGATTTAGATTTTGAAGGAGTTCCCACACGGTGGGCGGCCCCAGAGAGCCTGCTGGGTGGACATTACAGTATATATAGTGATGTCTGGTCTGTAAACATTCTGGCAGATGAGATCCTTAATTATGCTGCTTGGCCATATTCCGACATCAGTGATTCTGATATAGAAGATATGGTTACCAATGTAAGATTATTTTTGTGCTTACTCCTTTTTGGCAGCTGATCCAACCTCTGGAATTTCTTATGCCTTGTTCTCAGATTTGTATTATTGTAGTTTTTTTTGGTGATCGATCACTGTTTTTCTTTACCTTTTCATTCTATGAGAAAATTCCTGACGTTGCGAAAAAAGGAAGAAAGAAATAAAAATGATTTCATCGACTTTCAGATTGTCTTCACACACCTGAAGCCTCAGGGATTTAACAGACCTAGGCGCGTTCAAGGTCTAATTTTGGAGGGGCTTGCCAGCGAACCAGAGCAGAGACTAAAACTTGAGGCACTAAGAGAAAGATTGCTGGATATATCAGACAGTTTGGGCGATGCGCAAAGCTACAATGTATATGGTATGTATCATTGAACATGGTGTGTTTTAAATAAAGCATAAAGTTGAAACATTTTTCTGTTATTTGTACTTCTAACACATGTGGTGAAAAAGGTAAAGTCTTTTTCATCAATGATGGAATTATTGTCAGTTGCGTGAAGTCATTGAATATTGTATTTTTATCCCGCAAAGATACCTATTCAGGAATAGAGGGTACACATGCAAAGGTGTATGACATACCTCCACTAACAAATCTACAAATGAAGGCCGATTCCAAATTTGCAAGGGCAAGTTTCTATTTCTTCTTCTTTTCCTTCACCAAAAGATTAAATTTTTATTGTACGATTTGGATACACAAAATGAATGATAATTTTCCTTTTAATTTCAATAGGGAATACCAAAGACAATTCGGAAATACAGAGAGCTTGATGAAGGTCAGATAGTTAAGCATGTAAAAATAATAGATAAAAGTGTAAACTAACATTATGTGATATTTAAATATAATGTTCCTAAAAATGAAGGGGTGTACGCTCAAGTAGTTATAATGATAATAATGTTCCTGTAGCAGTGCACAAGATTTTTTTCCCTGATATCCTTTAATATGTTGTGTTGATAAAATAATCCTTATATTCTTATACAAGAAAAAAAAAATTAAAAATGCATCCTTCCTCTTGAGATAATATTTTGCAGACTAGGAAGAAGTTTGCCAAGTCCTAGTCAGCAAAATAAGGCTTCCTATAGAAGAATTCATCTTCTCCTAGATTCATATATAATGTCTTTTTTCTCACTTTTATCGAGGGTTTGAAGGAATATCTATCTTCTGTTGTTCGTTTTATCTTATTGCCCATCTACCTTCCAAATTTTTGACTTCTTCTGAGAACCAGTGGACCAATTTTTTTTTAAAAAAAAAAATCTTAAATAGTCCTTGAGTGAAGGGAATTAAAAAAGGACTGGTCCAGTGAATTGGAATTGTTGTCGTGGAAGAAATATCCACCCTCGGAAAATATATCTGCTGATTTGGACATTTTCAACATTTTACTTAACTTGTGGCCATTCCAAGACATGTAACCCCAAGTCATTATTTTGAACCTAAATTGCGATGTCCCAGGTTGACAAAATCCGGTCTCCAAGCTTCGCGCTTCCTTTGCACTATATGAACTTCTGGTCATAACCAATAATGATTAATTTGTTGATATTATTTTTAATTGTCCAATCACCGCTTCTCCTCACACCATGCATGTTTCTTTCGACGTTAGCCTTCTTCACTACGAGTTTCTTCTTATTTACACACATTTTTTTCTCATGTTTACATGTATGCAAATGACGTTGAGTCGTATGCTTATATTATTTACCCTTACAGTTTTGCCTTCATTTAACTATTACGATTCCCAGTGATGGGTTTTCACAACCGCGATAATTTTCACTGGACGTCCACTTTTCGGCTCGTTTTCTATTGATTCTGACCCGGGGGGGGGGGGAATTGGGCAACATCAATATCTGTTGATTTGGACATTTTCAACATTTTACTCATCTTGTGACGGGAGTAGCAATTCTTTAACAATAATGTTTCGATTTTTTTTTCACTTTCATCCCAGGTTATCGCTCTTTTCTATGAATATTTTTTGTATTCGTTATTTCGTCAATTTACACCAAAGAACAGGCAACAATGTATCATGTAGAAGCATGTGACAAAAGTCCAAATCTAAAATATTTCGTCATTACTGATGTGTTAATTAGGATTTTCAAGGTATGTAGTCGTTTCAAACGGAACTAACTGTCATGTTACTGAACTCATATGGCAAGTTTGTATACAATTTGTAAATAAGAAAATAAGTTAATCAACACTAGCTTCTTTTTGAAATCCTTCGTGTTTGAAGAGCGAGAAAGAAGTTCAATTTTTTTAAAACCTTGAAACCCATAGAAATTTTTGCTTTATCGTATATCTTCAAAATTCATTTTTTTAAAATTTCACTTGCAGATCCCCAGACTGTCTTCGCCTCAGAAGTAGCAGAGAACAATAGCAAGCAGAGAGAAGAAATAGGCCTTACCATCATGGAAATTTCTTCCGTTAAAAATTATAAAATAGAGGATGAGGTAAAATTAAAATATGTCCCTCTTTATGTTTACCGTCCTTAGGTTTTGTGTCCACTTTAACCAAGCGAAGTAAGGACGCAGGCTTTTTTTTTTTTTTTTTTAAATTTATTAGGTAAGGAAAAAGCAATGGCAGATCTGAAATATATACAAATACATATAATACAAAATCATTTTACACATAGACTTGAAAAATAATTGATAAAAACAACATAGTATACTTTTTCTGATGCAAAAATATCTAAATTCACTTCAAAAATAAGAAAATTTAACTTATCTCTGCATAAAAGTAGCATTATCGTAGTTTAAAAACGTTCTTCCAGAAATACGAAGGTTTTTCGGAAAGTTTGTGGACTACTGTCATAACTTTTTTTGCTAAACGTCATATCGTATCCAAATTTTTTAGCAATGTTTCAGCAATGAATTCAAATGAAATGTATTAAGAGGTTTTGAAGTATTATGATTTATTTCAAACTTACTTAGATTTTAGAATTACGAAAATCGGATCGCGGAGCAGGTCAAAATTTTGTTGCTTACAATTAATACACTACATAATGTCTGCAGTCATATACTCTGTAAAATTGCGCAATGAACGGAAAAATTCTAGACGTCCAAATTAAGAATTGTTACATCGTTTCATATTCTAAATCATGACTTAATATTTGGTTTCCTTGAAAAGAAATCAACTTCAGAAGATAAATAGTACTCATCGAAAAGGGCCAAAAAAGATGACTTCGTAGAACGTCACGGAACACCAGTTAACGATACAATATTTTGTTGTACTCTGGAAAATTGCAGAAAAACTCTCAAAATGCTGGAGGAAGCACGAAATATGTCCAAAAATCGAGCTATGCATGTATGCGTACTTTGCACAGGCGGTTTTTAATGATAGAGGCTGTGTATCAGACAAGACGATCTGTGAGATAACGGATTATCTGTACAAAGGAGATCAAAAACTTTTAAAAACGTTAGGAAGGTCATTGTAAGAGTTAGGCGCTTCACAGTTGCTTATCTTGAAAAAGCACGGTTACGCAGTAAAAAAATATAACATTGATAAACAAAATTGTGCCAATTAAACAATTGTTAGCGAAATAAATTTCAAATGATATAGAAACGTTTTTAATGAGTTCACTGTAATTGGGCCATACTGTGAAATATACAGGGAGAGTATATTTGATAACCTCATGATGGTATGTTTTTGACGTGACAATGGTGTTGAGTTTCCTCCGCGGTCACAAAACATGTTGATATTAAAATTAGATAACAAGACTTCTATTAAAGTACATGGAATGAAACATCATACATCAACAAAATAAATATTTGTACGTATGATAAAGTGTTCATTTTAAATTTCTTAAAAAAGTATAAGGAGGATTGACATGGTCCGCGAACTTTCTGAACAACCCTCGTATGAAAAATATTTAAGCTTGTTACTTTTACTTCAAATAAATTTAAAAAAATATTAATAGACAAAAATTTACCTTTCAAGTGGTGACAACGGGCAGCTGGTAAATTGTAAGAAATAAATTTCCCGCACTGATAGGAACTGGCCCGTACCTCAGTATTTAAAGAGGGAAAACCAGTTAAACAAGATTTACGGGGGGGGGGGGGGGGCTTGCTGGCCAATAAAATGTTATTAGTAGAATTCACGTATGAAATCAAAAACATGAATGGACTACTAAAGTAAATATGGCATATAATAAATAATGGCTCAGCTAGTTCTCAAGAAAAAGATAGAAAAAAATGATTTTCTATAAATATCACTCTACCACATTACTTTCTGAATAGAAATTATAGAAATTATAACGGTTTTAAAAGGCTATATGGGTGTGACCTGACCTATCCGTTTTTATCAGGTCCGGTCATCAGAGTGAGACCCTTTCACAATACCAATTTCAAGAAAAATTGCCAAAGCGTTTTGAGTTGAACGGTCAAAAGAGGGTCAAAAAGACAGTCAAAAACTTATACATTGTATATCACAGAGAAAAAAGTTAAAGAATAGTCTTATCTATGACTACTTGGCGAAGCATTGTTAAGTTTGTTTTTTTTTTATTTATACTAATGCAATGTAAATTCAAAAAAATTTACACTCTTAAACTTTAAACCAGGATAAAGCCAAAAGAATTCCATATATATATATATATATATATATATATATATATATATATATATATATATATATATATATATATATATATAGCAATGTAAGAAAAATCGTAAACAACCCTCTCTAATAGCACAAGGCTGCATATCTAGAATACACAAAAATGGGTGATTTGTAAAAGGGAAAACACACAACATCCCTACTATTACCCAATTGCACGTTATCATTACTGTGATTACTTGAATAATCATCCTTGATAATTTTATGGCAATCTTTAATAAATGTAGGGCGGTACGAATTCAAAGATGATGAAGGTTTCGGAAATAGTCAGTGACGACTTTCTGAAGTTTACTTACAACAGATTGAAAGAGATAGATAGTAGCAAAATGTGTGTAGAACCTTGGCCTCCAGCGACAAGTATAACACAAGGCTCTAAACGAATAGTATGTCATTTATTGTTGAGCTTCCATCTGAATTCTTCTGTGTAGAAAAAAGTATACAAGTACTAACAAAATCTGTATGCATTTTCTCAGCATTATAGGTTCCCTAAATCAACACATCTTTTGGATCTTACTCTTCATAAAGAACGTGGTGAAACAATCACTCCATATATAGAGCTTTTGTACGAATTAGCCAAACACGTTGACTCTCTCCATTCAGCTGGATGGATATTCAGATGCCTTAGAGCAAAACATGTCTGGATTCTGGAAACAAAGGTGAATGTAAACAGCAGAGAAAATAATAAAGTCTTTTATTTCAGAATCTATTTTCTTGCGAAACAATTTTTGTCACCGTTATCCAGTGTGTATCATTGTTTCATATATTGGCTTTTGGTATGTTGTAGAAGAAAGATCAGACAATAGTCGTTCCCAAATTTGGAAAGTACCTTGTGATAGAGTCTTCCCAGTTTGACGCTCACTTAGAGCAGGTAAAAGTTGAAGGATCACCAGCAGATCTAGATGGAATACAATGGTCAGTTTTGCAAACTCTCCTTGAGAAATCTAAATTAATAGCTAGATGGTGACATTGTGTAAACTCTCTCTCTAAATTTTTTGTTAATGTTACAAAATAATTAGGAATATTTTGTTTTTTTTACTGAATTAATTCATTTAACTCAATTATTTTAAAATTAACTTGATTAAATAAGTACTTGTGCATACCGAAAGACATGAAACGGTTTTATCTTTTTTTTTCTTCTTTCATTAATGCTCCAATAAAACTTTAAACATGCAACATGTACAATACAAAGCCTCAGTTTTATTTAATTCTAACCAAAAATATGATAGACACGACAATTTAAAGGTCGTGAATTCTTCCAATTTTTTGTATGTTATCTTCTCAGTTTCTTTAACCTTGTTTAAGTTAAACTTAAACGTTGTCCAAGTTCCCACTTTTGAAAAAGCTTAGGATAGTAAGCATCTTGAAAAAATGTACATACTGTAATTTATAAATGCATATTACTGAATGTTGATGGGTTCTTTTGAAATGTAGCATCCATTTCAATAAAAAAGAAACAAAACAAAACTGAAGTTGTCTGAAGAAAGTTTTTTTTGTATTAATGTAAGTGATTTACAATAAAGATTGTCTTTTAATCTGTGTTTAACGGCCCGGGGGGGGGGGGGGTAACTAAAATTTGCATGTTTTAAGGTGTAATTTCGTTGATAAAAGTTTTTGTATGAAAGATTGATTGGTTGATTGTATGTTGTTTTACGTCTCATTTGAGAATTTTTCACTCATATAGAGACGTCACTATATACCGGTTAAGGGCTTCAAATTTAGACCTTTACTCTGCACTCAGGGCCATTGAGCAGTGAGGGATCTTTATCGTGCCAACGCCTGCCGTGACACGGGGCCTCGGTCTTTAAGGTCTCATCCGAAGGACCCGCAACTTTCACTTCAAAGTGCCGAGCGCTTAGAGAAGAAACAGTTGCTACCTTTTTTTTTATCGACTTAGGTCAGTTGCGGCCGGGGCTCGAACCCATGACCTTACGATCATGGAGCGAGTGTTTTTGTATGAAAGACAGTGCACTTAGATTAGATACTAAGTTTTCGTTAAAATGTTTATTTCATTGGAGGATTTCAAAGAAATTAAAGCTGAAGTCAAAATCAATTAATGAAGCATGGACCCTGAAGTAGTAAAACTGATTTTCAGCAAAAATAATATATTTTGTGAATGCATCATTGCACATTTCATGCATAAGTCTTTGTTCATTTCGATCTTTGATCTACTCGTGTCTTGCAATCCAGGCTTCCTATTGAAGCAATAAAAGCTGGCCTTTACTCCAAAGAAAGTGATGTATACGCTTATGGAATGGTCACGTGGGAAGTCATGTCTGCGTTTGGACAACAAGGAGTTGTGTATGACCAGGACGAAGAACAGGAATTGACATGTATTCCATTCAACTACCAGCGATCTGAAAATGTAAAAAAAAAAAACAATATAAGCTTTCTGGCAACATAACACATAACATCTCGATAGTTTTCACTTCATGACTACAATTTGATGGAATTCGCTGAGGAAGCTGCCTTTATATAATGGATTTCAAATGCATGTTACTGTCATCCATTGTCAGATTGAATTCTGGGCTTATTCAACCAAATGCATAATTATAAAAATAATAGACCTTCCAACAAAAATATTATCAACATTGCTAAAAGTGTTAAATTTTCCTTTGTACCAGAAGAGTAAATTCGTCAAAAAATGTTTATATCGGCAAAGGAATAATGGCAAAATTACCGTCAAAGATAACAGATTTTTATTTTAAAATAACAAAACCCTACTTTAAAAAAAAGTCCTCCTCAAGTCAAATATGGCCACTTCTTTCCCCAATAAACAGATATATTTATAAACAAAGGCATAACATTAAGATTAACCTGCAGAGGTTTAAAGGAAATTAGTTTCTTCATGTAAAAATTCTTTTATGATTGATTCAAAATTCATATGCATATCTAAAAGCACATGCTTTGTATAATCCATTCTAAAAATTCAATTATTTTTGTGTTTGTCAATTGCATTGACGTATGAGATCTTACAAATTTAGATGATGTTTTATCAGGGAAAGACGTGTAGTGTATGTATTTTATTAATTATGAATAGATTCTTCAACATCTGATAGAGGGATATATCCCGGAAAAACCCATCAAGTGCCCTGAATGGTTTTACCAAGAAGTCACGAGACCTTGTCTCCTGCATCAGAAAATCGACAGACCGTCAATGAAAACTATCCTACAAATACTTGAAACAAGGTACTGGGCCAGTGATAGCTGATTTGTTGCTTATTAGATTTGAATATTTATTTATTTTTGATCTTATCTTTGTAGACTGGGGAAGGCCCCGCCAAGACAAGATCGTTATCTCCCACTTCGATCTGGCAAACATAAAGCAGCAAGCAAATCATTGAACGCTGAGGATTATGATGATCTAATGTATGAGGATATTAATCCTTGCGATTTGGAGGAAGAGTCTTCTTTTCATCCCTCTACACAAAGGAGAGTGCTTCCTCCACCGCTTCCGGTATCATATTGCAACGACGACGATCGTGTATCCGAACAAAAAATCGTAATGAAAGTAAAGCCATCACAACCAAATATTGCCATAAGAGAAAAGAAAGCTTCAATAGCTTTGTCAAAACCTCACGGTAGCCAAAATATTGTTTATGAGATGAGTGAGGAGAAAAATTCAGGGAAAATCAACAGGGATAGAAGTCACCCAATACTCGGAGATATTGATGTTGCGGCTGACTTCGGTAGTAAAGGCTATGAAAATACTGAAGAAAAATGGAAAACTGGTAAAACAATGATCCGTTTAAGTTCTTTACCTCCTCCTAGACCAAAAAAAAGTCGAGCTCACAAAAGAGATAACAATGTGAGGGGAGCACCAAATTCAGCGCCAAAAGTGAAGAATCAGCCAGGAATTGTGGAATACTCGAGAACAAGCAAAAATGATGCTTTTAAAACTCCCATAGATCCAATGGACAGAAATTCAGATCCGTCTTTTTATGACAATAATAAAAGTTCAGATTTGGATGAAACTAATAAAGATACCAGAGGTTTCGAATCTACTGGAAATTGGTCTGAAAACTCTCTGAAGCTTGGATCACATACAGGTAATGTCGGTGTTGATTCACTGGAAGTCGAGAAAGGATCTGACTTTTTCGGGAAGTTGTCAACTGAAACAACAAAACGTAAAGTACTACTAAACCCCCAAAATAAAAATGAAATAATATCTATACAGTATGCCAATCAGGAAAGAGTTAGCGAGAAAGACAAAACTTATGATGATATGAGAAAAGGTGTACACAATCAACGAAGTCCAGTATACGTCAATAATTCTCTACCAGAAAGAAAGCCTGACGTGCCACCTAGGAAACCCTTAAAATAGACCATGTTTGATTACTAAAAATGGGTCATGTTTGATTACTTAAAGCAGGTTAGGTTTGACTACTTAAAATAAAATCCGTATCACTTAACTAAACTATAGCAGATTGAACAAGTGTATTACATGGGTTTTCAGAATTGAATCCGGATGATTAAAATTCCAGCCTTAGGTTCATAGGTGATTTCTCTTGAAATTAAATACACTTTTATGAAAATGTTTTTTTGTTTTTTTTGTTTTTTTTTTTTTTGTTTTTTTTTTTTTGGTTTGTCATACTGGCCTTATCACCACAGTGGAATGAAATAAAATCAAGGATTTCGTAATATATCAAATAATGAATATTTACTATTTATGTGAATGTGAAAATTTTGGAAGCTTAGGTTTGTTTCCCTGGAATTCCTTCTATTATTTCAGTACAGCTAAGCTATAGCTTAATATAGCTTAAGAATGTGATTTGCTTGTATTGAGATACAAGAAAAAGACTCACTAGAACAG